GCTTTCAAAAATTTTGTGGTTTGCATTGTGAGGTTTCTGGTTTATTTTAATATATTTGTGGTTTGCATTAGAAGGTTTCTGGTTTGTTTTTTTTTTGTGGTTTGCTTTTCCGTGTTTGTGGTTTGCATTAGGGTGTTTCTGGTGTGCTTTTCAAAATATTTATGGTTTGCTTTGTGAAATTTCTGGTTTGTTTTAGGAGACTTGTGGTTTGTTTTAGGAGGTTTCTAGTATGCTTTTTTGTGGTTAGTTATAACGCATTTGTGGTTTGCATTAGGAGGTTTTTGGTGTATTTTAGAAATAGTTGTGGTTTGCTTTGTGGTGTTTCTAGTATGTTTTAGGCGATTTGTAGTCTGGATTACGAGGTTTCTGGTGTGCTTTAGAAACATTTGTGGTTTGTTTTATGGTGTTTCTGTTCAGGAGATTTATGGTTTACATTACAAGATTTTTGGTGTGTTTTATAGTATGTTTTATTGGATTTATCAAAATGCCTCGGTCTCTCTTTCAGTGATACAGAAGCAGTCTCGTTGAGTTAATTTTATTTCCCCCACAAATTAGTGAAACATAACACATGTTTTCCATCTCCTTCATCAACATCATCAACTCAATCACTGCCAGTCTGCCATTATGAAATGGTGATACATTTACACCAGCACTAAAACCCGAAATCTGAAAAGGTAGAAACATTGAATTTTTGTTAGATCTCTCATCGAAATGACTCGTGACCATTGCTTTCTTTCTCTTGAATTAAGCAAAATAAATCATCCAAATGACTCGTGATCACAGGTGACAGAGGAGGAAGAAACAATTGGGATTCACAGGATCAACATCATGATCAACATGAGCAATAAGCTGAGAGAGTTTGGTCAGATTCGTAGGAACATTTTCTGCCAGAGACGCAACAGCTTGGTCTGGTAATGCATATCTTAAGCTCTCATCATGCACCCGAGCCTGAAAGGAAGTCCATGCAAATTGGTTAGGTTCAAAAGAAATGATGCAGACTGTACCAAGAGGCATTTCATATGAGATGTTCAATACTTGAGTGTCAACTGTCAAGTGACCAAAGCGAGCTAAGCAGCTCATGATTTCGTATCACTTAAAAGTAAATGTGAAATCATATCAGGAAAAAAGCTACTGTAATCACACTATCCACTAATGCACTTGAAACGTTGGCCATAAGCAGCTCAAAGGTGGCAAAGATAAGGTACAAGGCAGCCAACCAATCACTTCTCCAGAGAGCAAACAGCTAACAACGATTTGTAGTCTGGATCGCTAGAGCTTTCGATGGCAAAATTTTCACAAAGAAGAGAATTGGATGGGAAAGGAGAAGTCAAGAGAAACATTCCAGCGGCGATTCTGACAAAACCCGAGCCTTCATTTGTCGGATCTTCCTCGCTGAGAAGCTCTAGCGATCTTTAGCTTCATGTGCGCTCGATTAATTTTCCTGTAGAGAAAAAGTCCTCGCCATCTCCTTCAGCTCGGCAGTCAGGGTCGTCGGATCCTGAATTCGAAATCCTCTTCAATATCCCGACCACCATATATGAAATCCAGATCCGGATTTCTGGATCCGCTTTGCTGGTGGTTGTGCATAAGTATGACCGCCACCAGGAGGAGAGCTCCTCAACGGTCGTACGATGAGATCCGACGAGTTGCGGCGGAGGAGGAAAAGGAGGCGCCGGTGGCTGCCAATCTGCATCTGACGAGCCTGTGCGGAAGAAGGTGAGATCTTAATAAATAGTATAACGACTCTGATGGCGGCATCCTGATAGTAGTATGCCATTTGGCGTCGCCGGCGGCGGGTCTAGCATCGCGGCGGAGTCAGCGTAGTGGAAGTCTCTGTGCTCGTCGTCGGCCGAAAATCTGGGAGATGCGCCGGAGGGGAGAAGAATCGAGTGGGGTGAGAGAAGGGTACGGGTGGGGTAATGACTCATTTAATTTTTAATCTATTACTTTTTGTGAGTTTCCGTTTTTACCCCTGTTGTTACTCTAACAACACTATGAGTGTTGTTATGTTATCCGGAGCCGGGAAGAAGGCGGCGCGACAAGGAAGAAGACGATGGAGGAAGGTGGCGGCGGCTGGGTTCCTCTTGTCGATAACCCTAGGGCGCCACTTTTGCCTCACTCAACTCAGCAGTCATCTGATTCTTTGGCCCAAGGAGCAGAACAGGAGCAGCCCTTTCAGTTGGGTCGAGTGGATGGGCTCGTTTCAGGCCAAAGGGATTTGCAGATTGGGTCTGAGGCAAACAAAAGAAAGGCAAGCTGGGCTAAAGGAAGCAACGGGCCGAATTTTCAGGCAGGTTGTGGGCCTCTGCTGGGGTGTCTCATAAAGTCTCTTTTGTATGATCTTGGGCTGAAAATAGAAGAGAGTGGGCCGTGTTGGCAGAGAATGCTTAAGCCTAACGTGGACTATGGTTTGAAGATTGACATGGAGATAAGGAAAGGTGGGTTTATGTGCTTAGCTGGTGGGCTTTTAAAGGAACATGACCCACTAATAAGGGGAGGAATAACAAAGGAAGTGATTGGGCTAACTTCAAGATAGAAGTTTGAAGGCCTTGATGAGTTGGTACTTAATGATGGGTTTTTGCACGAGAAAGAACATTTGGATTCATTAGGTTCCTGGAGCATGATGCCAACGAAAGGAGAGCTATTAGAGTTTGAACTTGTCATAGAAGAGAATAGTGGGCTCATGGTAATGAAATTGGAAGAGATGGACCAACACGGGGAGATCAATGCAAGAAGACCAAGTGAAGAGTTGGAGCGTGATTGGAAGAAAAGGAAGCGCAGTAAATGGGAAGTCAAGGCGAGATTTGCACGAACGACATGGAGAAGTGGGTTGAGTTGATCAACCTTGAGGGCAAGGTTGGTCTCAAGGGGAAGGGGATGGTAGAAACCTAATTTTTGGGTTCTATCATAATTATGATAATTACTATTATTAGGATTTATTTAGTAGTCTTTGAGTCACATTAGGAAAGTCTATTAGGTTTTTCTGGTCTTTAACTATAAATATGTACTTTGAGTCTCTCATTGGATTAAGCAGAAGTTAATGAAAGAATTATTCTCCCAAACCCTAAGCTTTCTCTATCTCCTAATTTCTCTTCTTCCCTAATCCAAGGCTTAGGCCGATTCTTATTCTTTTCTTCTTCTTCTCTAAATTCTCAATCCCATCCCCAATTCTATCTCCAAAACCCTAAATCCCCAATCACCCAACCCAATCGATAGAACCCTAGAAATAGGTTTCTATCACATGTCAACCGATCTTCAATCTGCATGCACTGAGCCAACTGCACCGGCAGCGTCGAAGGGATGATCTATAGCCAGGACGCCGTTGAGCATTTGCTGGCGATTCATCTTCTTCTGTCAACATCCGTCATCTTTTTCCCTGCGGCCTCTCGGTGATATCTACTGCCCTTGGCTTATTTATTATCAATTGTGTTGGCTTAAATTTTTCTTGATTATTGTTTCCAATTACAGATCGCTTTCTATTAAAATTCAGTTCTGATTGCTAATTTTTGGTAGATTTTCTTCGTTGGTCTTGCTGGTTCTTGCTCTTGCTTCATGATCAATTTATTTGATTTTATTTGGCTCTCTTGCCTTGTCCAGGGTGGTGGTGACAGATCCCTCTCTGTTTTGTCGACTTGCTTGATCTATTTTCCTTGGAATCTCTTCCCCAATTTGTTCATCAAATTCGTTTGGTACTTTCTTTGTTTGGTCTTCGGTTTTGCTTTGTTTCTTTGTTTGTTCTCATGGATGCAGGTTCTGATAACTCCGCCTTATCCTCGTCTCTTCCTCAATTTGTTCATCAAATTCGTTTGAGTTGCTAGTGGGAGTACTGGCCGGAACCGTAGATAGCAGCGACTGCCTGTGTGGTTGGCGATGGACGATTGCAGTGAGGCAGTTGAAATGGATAAGTCCTCTCGATGGTGGCGAGGACAGTGCATGCGACACCACTTGCGAGAATTCTCCCACGTGTCTGTCGACTATCGATGTTATTTCTCCCCTATCCATTGCAGCCAAAGGAGCCTTTGAGAGATAGTGGTCGGCGAAGGTTATGGCGGCTTTGGCCAGCCTATTGGCTTTTGGGCTCCATGTGCTTATGAACATCTGCCTTCTTAGGTTTTTGGGCCGGTCTAGATGGGATTCACTGTTTATGGCTATTCTTATCTTTTCCGCTAGCAACTTTTAACGTTTCCTGCATGGACTGGAGCCTTGCTATTCTCCCGACAATCGTGCAATCTGAAGTGATAAAGCCTTGTCATGTGGCTTATAAGCCCTCCTCTGGTATTCATTGTGCTTCTTTCATGAGCCTTTTTGCATGTGCATCTGAAATGGATCTTCCTTTCTCAAAGGAGGAAGGAACAAATATGAAGGGAAGGAATTTTAAAACTTGTGCAGAAGATTATACCCTTTTATAGATTTTATAGTGTTTTTGTGACTCTTTTTGTAGGAACTGACATAACTGCCCATTTTGTGGCAAAAAGGCTCTTTCATCGGCAGTTTGATTAGTATCGACTGTCGTGGTTTACTTTTGGGCTACCACTACAACACCCGAACTATTCGGAAAATGCCACTTATGACCTATTGTTTTCAATATTCCATCCATGTCATGAACTATTATATTTTGTGCCATTTGTATCCTGCCAATTTCGTTGACCGTTAAAGATAACAGTTGACCAAATGGCGGTCAACTTAACATTGACTTTTGCTGACGTGGCAATGCCAAGTCATTGACACCTCACATTTTTAATTTATATTAAATAAATATTTAAAATAGAAAATTGGAAAAATTTTAAATTCAAGAATATTACTGAACAATATTCTAAAACACCAAATTCAAAATAAAAAAAATATATATTATGAACAATAAATAAACTCCCCACAAACTAATTAGGTGCGAAAAACCCTCGAATCCGACCAATGAATCAGGGAAGGAGGCGAGTGGTGAACGGTGGAAGGATTTTTTCTTTTCAATCCCCAGCAAACAACACATACTTCTCATCAGCCATCATTTATTGTTCTCCATCCATGTCGCCTATCTCTTTGATTTCTCACGATTAGGGATTTGGAAGGGTCCGCTTGGGATTAATTCCCAGCAATGGTCTTGGGTATTCAAGCAACTGAATACTTACCGCTATTAATCCCCAGCAATACAATCGTCGTGACTCTTTCGTCGCGATGAGTGCTTGCAACATCGAGCTTTGAAACGCGGATCTAGAAAGAGAAAAAACTATTTTCACTTCTAGGCGACTACAAGAGGCCATCGAAGCCAAGCGGTGACAAAGAGCTGGAGATGAACTTACCGGCAGAGGAAAGATAGATCTGGAGATGAATCGACGACCTGTTGAGATGTGGCAGAGCTGGAGAGGTGAAAACTTGCCGGGTGATTTCTCTAATTCCACTATCTCTCACTTGCTTTCTCTCTCTCTCTCTCTCTCGGATCCTCTCCAGCCCCGTCTTCATCATTGCGGAAAGATTCCTTCTCCACCGTCTCTACAGTGGAAGGCGCACCCATCTCCCTCATCCGGCTTGATATAATCACGAAGATCTGTGGGAACATCGCTTGGGTCCGATTTAACCATGAGGATGAGGCTTGGACGATGTTGTTCATTGAAACAGGGGAATCGTGCAGGAGAGGAGAGAGGGACCTGTGGAGAGAGAAAGGGCTAGAGAAGCAGGGTCGCTGATGGGGGTTCATAGGAGATCAAAGGAAAAGGACGGTCGGAGATGAGGCGACGAACGACGATCAGATGCAATTGATTGGAGTTTTAGTGAGAAGGTGCAGATTTTTCTTCAGAAGTTGTAGAGAAAGAAAGTGAATTGATTTGAGTTATTGTTTTGTTTTTGTAATTTTCCATAATTTTTATTTTGTTTTCCTTATTTTAATGATTTTAGATGGAAAAATAAATGAAAATTGATAATGTAAATTCCACATCAGATGCCACGTCAACGCTGACTGGATTTTCTGTTAAATACTAATAGTCAACGCTGGTCAACACTAACGGAATAATAGTTCAGGACACAAATGGAATATTGGAAACAATAGGACATAAGTGGCATTTTTCGGATAGTTCGGGTGTTGTCGTGAAAGTGAAATTCCAGATCCCTAGAGTCTCGGACGCCGTCGTGCCCCACTGATACGCTTCATAAACATATATGTATTTTGTGCATAAATGATTGATCTTTATGTGTGTGTGTGTGTTTAAATTGCTCTAAATTAGTTCATATTGACCATGGAATGGTCCTAGTGTCAGTACCAAGACATGTAGCGATTTAACACAGATTGAAGCTAAGATTGTGAACAAAACAAAGTGCAGTGGACGAATGCAGGTGCAGTGTCAAAATGCAGATGTGCAGAAACGTCCAGCAGGATGCCAAATCGATGAAGACCCAAATCGAATTATTGTGGTTGGAATCTTCACTCAACTGTCAGCAGCCCTCATAAATTATTGGGATTTGATCATATTTCTTGAAGTGAGCAAATGGATTTGGTGGCTCACCAATAGAGAAAATGATGCAAGAATTTATTGCAAAGAGAGAGACTTAAGCTGGCAGCAGCCTTCTCTTGGAAATGGGGTCTGCAATCTCCTTGTTTTGAGGGATAAAAATCTGCAGAGATGAACTTAAAAGGGGTAGCAACTAGGAGAGCAGAAGAGACACTTTTGGAGACTAGTTTTAGACAGAGAAATCAAAGGAGAGAGATCACTTTGGCACACTTTGGAGTTGAGCATTTTGAAGAGAGGAAGACTCTTGTAAGTTGGGGATTAACTTCAACACTTAGTACTTTCTCTACTCCTTTGTTTTGGTAGTTGGTCATCATGTTAAACATTAGCATGTTTATGTACTTTCTTTTCATCATGAACTAATCACCTAATTTCTAGGGGAAACTTATGAATTTCATTATCTAGCCTCGATGTTTTAATCATGACTTGTTTTTCTTCCATTTTCTATCGTGTGGAATTGTTTAACGCTTTGTGTTGATTGACCACCTTCACAATGATTTGTAGTTTTCTAGGTTAATAACGATAGTGAAAACCTAGTAACCGAACACATTTCACACGACATAATTGCCTATCGAAGCGATAGTGGATTAAATAGGAAATTATGCAGTCATTTCAGGAATATCGTTCTTAAGGCTAATTAATTAATTCAGTTAACTACGATAGTAGAAATTGTCTTAATTAGTTAGTACATGGTAATTTTCGATAGAGATAGCTATCAAATTATAGGTATCCCGATCGTAGAAATATGGATTAAATCGATTGACAAGGGTAATTAAATTTACTGAGGTAAAATAGTAAAATCTTGTGTTTTCCCCGGAACTCTCAAATATCAATTTCTCCAAAATAGTTGATTTATCGAGTTACTTAATTTGTGCGATCTTTGAAAATCATCACTTGATTACAACCTTTGCAATTCCTATATTTTCTTGAACTAAATTTGTTAATTATTGAGTTTCACCAATCCTCTAGAGAACGATAATTTTACTTACACTTTAATACTTGTACGACACTGTGCACTTGTAGTTTTGTCGCCACCACCCACCCGAAGACACGTCGGAGATCAGTCACTGCGAGCACGAGGTTGCATCGTGGAGGAGATCGGGAACAGGTGATTCGAGCTGGAGGGAAGTGCGGTAGAGCTTCAGGCGGGACTCTGGCATACTGGTTGCGATTTCGTTCATGAGATCGGCGTGGAAGGGGAGCGAGGCGAGGCGGATGTTGAAGTCCTGGGTGGTGGTGGTGGGTGTGGGAGAGGTTGCGCCGGAAGTAGTCGAGGTTGATAGGGGTGACGGCGGCGGATGATTTTTCAGGCAAGGGCGAGGAATGGTATCAGGTGGCCTTGTGTCATTAATGGAAGCGTCACTATGTTCTCTTTCGGAGGGAGTACTCCCTGCCATTTTGCTCTCTGGTGATGATATTTAGTAAAATTAAGTATAGGGTAATACGTACAGGAGCTACCAATACGAATTGCATTATATCTTTACAGAAGGGTCTAGATGAATCCTAATCCTTATCAAACTCAGTCATGCTTCTTGTTTGGTGTTGTGATGCAGATCCAACTTAATTTGTTATGTACGAGTGCATTGCATAAAGAGGGGAAATCGGTGAGAGAGTGGAATAGGATCTCAATTAATGAAGAGTTAAATTGGGCGGATTGTAGTTTACCTCGTACCGCTAAATGTGTAAAGAGACATGCTAGCATTTACCAAATCCCAAAAAAGATGGAACACAAAATTATGTTTAAATTGCGTGAACTCAATGCATGATCAGGATTTTAGAAGCAGAAGCAGATGAAAATAAGTAAAACAAAGAATCGCCACTGAGATAGACAATTATCAAAGGCCCAACCTAATGACAATCCGGAACTCAGTATCCATTATCAACAAACTAGGTGTCATGGGTCATGTACAAGCCCACTTTTGAATGTTATTGAAAAGCCTTCAAAAATCAATGATCAGACCCAGTCCAACTAGAATTAGTCCTAAACGCACCGTTAATACATAAACACAAATTAAGGAGACCTCTCCATATGATTCGAATCAAATTAGGTCTTCTTCATCTCCTTCCTCAATCCTCTGGGCGAGACGAACACTGCATATAAGGAAACCTTAATTTCGCCGAGTGATAGAAGTTTCGAGAAAATGACAATAACGCTAAGACAAGATGACAAAGCACTAGCGACATGAACCCTAGGGTTAGCAAACCTCCTTCAAGGGTTCTTTTGCAAACGAAAAGTTTGATGAACACAATAATAGACATGGTCGCCGTAATCGTGTTAGAAAGAGATAGGCGAGTAAATTCCGCACGGAAATAAAATGGCGATGAACAAAACGTCGATTTGTGGATAAAAGGATTTGGGGTTCAAAACGATGATTATGTGAGGATTTCATATTGGATGGGGATCTTCTCTTCGAATGTGGATACATAGATTTGGCGTATGAAACATGATGATGTTGGGGATTTGAGATTGGATAGGGAGCTAAATCGAATATGGATCAAATAATAAAAGGATTTGGGTTTCGAAACGATGATTTTGTTGGAGATTTAAGATTTTATAGGCAGCTTATGATCGAACTTCGAACTTAGAGGGGACCCTCCAAGGCGAATGAGGGATCGTAGAAGGGAGACTGGAAATTGGTTAGGGCGGCGGGTCGTATCCATAGGGTTTAACCTCTTAATCGATATCATTAAACCGTGTACAGTTAGGTTGAAGTCCAATGAATAAAGCATAAATGCTTCGTGATGCTTTTGGTAATTTTCCTTGCCCCCGATTACCCGTACCCCGGATTTTGCCCTGGGCACCGTAGAACTGCCCATATATATATATATATATGGTGGCTTCTATGGTACCCCGGGTGAAATCCAGGGTACCGTATACCTTGAGTATGAAAACACTATCTAGACCTCGAATTAGCAGAATTTTTGGGCTTGATACTATACCCTAACCCTTAATGAGTGAACCCTAGGTCCTAATTATCTAAATCATAAACTATAAACCCTAAGATGAAGCATTCATCTTTTTGCCTATATTTGGACGAATAATAGCCATCGATTCTTGTTTCTAATTAAATTGATCTTGGGGTATAAGATTTAGAGAACTAAGACCTAGATTTTGATCTTTAAGAGTTAGAGTATGACATCATGTCCAAAAGATCAATCAATTCAAGGTCTAGATAGCGTTTTCATACTCAAGGTATGCGGTACCCCAGATTTCACCCTGGGTACCGTAGAACTCACCATATATATATATATATATATATATATATATATATATATATATATATATATATATATATATATATATATCTATTCAATTTAAAGTTCTGTTGTATCATTCTTAATCCAATTATTTATTGAAAAATCATCTGAATCACTATTCGTCGCCCTAAAATTTAAATTTTATCGCACTAAACTACACTGAAATGACACATATGCCCCTATCCAAAATCAAACTTAAAACCCTAAACCTTTCCCTCGGCAACCACATTCTGCCGCCTCCCATTCTTGGCTACTGCATGTTTCAGTGCGTTGATGTAGATCGATTAACTGAATTAATTAGCTAGCTAGAAGGACGGCTCTTTACTTAATTAATCAATCAATCATTTAGCAGCTAGCTTAGCTGCCTGCCTTCAATTCAAATATTGGGGTCTGCTGCAGCCCCCATGACAAGCCTTGCAACGTTGTTCCTGCTAATGACTTCCAGAATCCCTTCCTCTATCACGTACAGTTTCTCTGCCCGCACCTGCATGCTCACAACACCACATCACTCAGACCTGACCTGCTGCTATGTTGTGTTGCTGTGGTTGTCGCTGTCGTGCAAGAGGAAGGAGGGGAGGCAAATCCCGGGCGCGTTGCTCTGTTTCTGCGAAGAAGAAGGTAAGGAATCTCCGGAACGTTTGGGACGAGCTGAAAAAATAAGAAATAAGGGCATTCGTGTAAATTCAAT